GGTTCTTCTTCAGATTCAGAAACGGACTCGGAGCTTTCGCTTAATTCGCTAGGTTCTGAGTTCTTTCTCTTTCGTCTTAATTCTCGCTCGAAATCGGCGTTAAAGCTCGAGATATGTTCACGAATCGGATGAGAACTCCGAGTCATAAACTAGTACCTAAAACAAGAAACAAAACAAGATTAAAACTCTGGAATAAAATAAAAACAAAAGAAAATGAAACAATCTAAGAGATTAACAAAATTGCTAATCCCCGGCAACGGCGCCAAAATTTGATGCGAGTTTTATACGCACACAAATTAAACCCTCTTTTTATCAATTGTAGTAAGTACGTAAGTAGGGATCGTTCTGGACCGGGGATTAGGAGGGCTTGTTAACCACTTGGATTTGACTTCAAAAACGTAAAAACAAGTTTAAAACACTATACTAAACTCGAAGAATGCAAAATTCAAAATAAGATGGATTAAGACTAAAACTTCAACGAAATAGGGGGGAATTGGATTTGGATGAATTTAAACTAAAATAATTACTTGGAAACAAAACAAATTGTAATTATGGATTGGACGGAAATGAATGGATGGGAAGCTAGCTAAGGGGTTCATCTCTATACATGTTATACTTGCATACAAAACGATTTCTAATTGCTTTTCAATAAACCATGAATTCTCAACGCCCCGGGTTAATTAGGTCCGCTTAAATTAACCGTCAAGTTTTCCTTAAGTTAATGAATTGGATGATTGCATACGACAATCCAAAGCATTCCTCACAAGTTCCCTACATGAATTGCATAATAGAGATACAAGCAAGAATCATTAAGCAACATGAAAACTATAAGTGTTGACGAGGCATTCGTTACTATGATTGCATGAAACTTATGCCAAGAATTTGTTTAACGCGATTGTTTATAAGCAACCTCCACTACTTGTGAATATAAGTTCATAACTATTACGTGAAACTCACTTATATTCTAGCGTTATATTCATGCATGAAAATTAAGCGTTCATTCTTAATAAACATACATAAATAGGATATCAATCAAATAGTTAAACAAATTGAATTCACAACTTACGAAACGTAATTTAAAGTAATCAAATCATATTGCAAGCATAAACATATATTTCGAATCACCCCCTAGCTAAGGGGGGTTTAGTTCCTCATACTTACAAAACAAAGAGAATTGAAATTAAACATTGAAATCAAAGAAACGCTCAAACATTCCAACAACTCAAACTTGAATTGTATGAACGTTTAGGCACTCTTCTCTTCCTCGTTGTTGTAACACAAGGTCTAAGGATAGGTTGTGTGATGGTGTGAAGTGTTTTGGAGGGATGGGAAATGGTTGGATAATGGCTGCAATGGAGGAGAAAAACTGCACAGAAATGGAAGGGTATGCACGACAAGGGATGTGTGTTTGTGTTGTGTGTTGTGTTGTGAATGGAATGCATGAATGAATGAATGAATGCAAGGGTATTTATAGGAGTAATGGAGGGAACATGACAGCTAGGAGGTGGGTGGAAATGTGGCTGCATGTTTGGTGAATGATTATGAATGAATGCATGTGACTTGGCTAGGTTGGAAAGCTGGAAATCGGAAAATGCAAATGGGAATGCTGAAATGCAAAGGTGGCCACGGTTTTGAGTGTATTTTGTGTTGGAAATGCATGTGAATGCATGTGAATGTTGTTTGTGTGAAGTGTATGTGAAATAAAGGGTGAATGGTGGCTGAAATAATGATGGAAAACAGCTAGGAAAAGTATGGAATGCATGTGAATTGTAAAGGGAAAAGCTGGAAATGGCTAGGAAGTCACGGCATGGGATGTTTTGGTGCATTGTGGCTGATTTGTTTGTTGGTTAAAGATGCATGTGGATGAATTATATAATGGGAAAGTATGTGATTGACAACTAGGATGGATGGTGGCTGCAATGATGAAGTGTGATGGTTGAAAATGGCAAGGGAGATGCATGTGTTTGGACGGCAAGGATGGTGTTTTGTGCATGTGGCTGCAATGGTGTGTAATGATGGAGGAATAAGTGCATGCGGTTGAATTGGTGGTGAATGTGCATGACAAAGAATGGATTTGGCTGCAATGGTGTGTAATTGGGCTAGGGTTTAAGTGCACGAAATGGACCCAAATTGCTCCCCCTTGCATGGCAAGGAATGGTGTTTGTGTTAAGCCCATGGCAATGTGATTGTAATTGGGTTAGGGCCATTGTTTTGTGTCCTCAAGTGCATACAAGGCCTTCAATTTCATCTAACACTTGGGCTCCAAGAATAAGCTATCCATCCTTAGCCCAATAGTGCTCCAAAAAGGCCCCAAAACACTCCACAATGCATCCTTTCGTCAAACACGTCTTATAATCCTGAAAACACACAAAAGAAGCATAAAGAACTAAAATAACTAAAGAAACATAACGTAAATGTACGAGAACAAGCTAAGTAAGTCGCCTAAATATGCTCCTATCAATTATAAAATCATTAAAACGTAATTTCTGGAAAGATACCAATCATAATATATATATATATATATTTATATATATATATATATACTGAAAACAAAAGCCCACTCACTGATACGTAGAAGGGTCGTAAGCCCCGAGCCTCACGTGGCTGCGTTCGTCCTCTGGATAGTCCTCACCTATATGTGAAACAACTATAAAACCATCAATTTAATGCACATAACCAACCTTAGGTAATAACTTCTCATACATTGCTCAATTAAGGTGTTTGAATATACCAATTAAGGTGTTTGAATTTACTCAATCCCACAAACACCCCCATATTTTTAGAAAAAATTTCTGAAGCCTCACGTGCCCCCACGCGCCAGCCAAGGCACGACCACATGCTCCTTCCACGCGCATGCACGTGCCTGGCGCACGGACGAAATCCCTAACGCTGTTAGGGAATATTCCGTCAATTTACCAAAAGATTCCGTTAACTTTAACCTGACACCGTTAATCTCTGTTAGGAATATTCCGTCAACTTTGACGGAATATTCCGTCGTCTCCTACCTTAGGTTGCCAGAATCCGTCGCTGGTCGCCACTGCGTTGCTGGATTCTAGAAAAACTTTAAACTCAATTTTCTCACTCAATTCTCAATAAAACTTCACAAAATTTATGTCAAAATGAAGCTTAGGACAAGGGGAAGAAGTTTATATCACTTTGAAGCACCAAAAATGCCAGAAACTCGTCGAAGAAATCTCACAAAATCCGGCCAACCATAGAAATTGCTATCATGACGTCCAAAATCCTTCAAACTTGTTCTCCGAGCTTCGTTAGAAAGTTTTAAGACTCCCTGTGATCTCAAAACTCAATAAAACCTCTACGATCACGACTAAATGAACACTACCATCAACGGAGTCCACATATTCTACGGGTTTTTGAGGGTTCCAAGCCAAACCAAGGGTATGAGTGTCCGTATAAATTGTGAGGCATGAAGTTGTCCGTATAAATGGTGAAAATGGAAGAAATGTCGAGAAGGAGAGAGACAGAACCAGAAAAGAAAGAAGAAGGGTGAACGTGTGCATGTGTGGATGTGTGTGTGTAGGTTTAAAATAATCCCAAAAGCCAACCCAAACGTAGCCCATTTACGCACACGCAACCATTAACGAGCAAGGGCAAAAATGTCATTCTCGTGCTAACGGTAAATATTTTGGAACGGGCTGTCATAGTAATTTATTATTTTTGAAGTTTTAAGAAAAACTCAATAAAGAAAATGTTAGGCCAAATTGGATTAACGGTCACTGTGATGATAATATGTTTTGAAGATTGCCCTTGAGGTCAGAAAATTAAGATTTAAACCCTTGTGGTGAAGATTATTAGCAAAATTAAGCCAAAAAAGAGAATTATGTTAAATCTCAATTAAATGTAAGGATAAAAATGTCCAACCAAACTCTTTCTTTCTGTTAGACAAGCTGATATTCAAGACTTCCTAAGGCTCGACTCCAAGCACGGCCACAACGCCTGCTCCCTCTTCTGCAAATGCTAGCTCGCCTTCGAGGGCCTTAACATTTCGTCGATAAGGCTGCATTCTGCCAATGGCTTTGACAACGACGTGCTTGATTTGAACATCTTATCGAATGTCGCTATGAGTGCTATCGACCGTAGATTCTCCAAGCTCGAAAGGTTGAGCTTAATTTGGTACTCCAATGACTCTCCCACATTGGTCTAATTTGGCTTGCTGATAAGTGTAAATTTTTTAATTCATTGGATTTGCAGGTAAGCTTTTGCTTAATTGGCTTTTAAATCTCTTATGTTATTGCTTTGTTAGAGTTAAATTATAATGCTTGAAGTCTGAAATTCTTCGTTTGAATACTTAATTAGAAATTTTGGTACATTCCTGGCTTTTGCCTGAATGCTTAATTGGCTTTTAAATCTCTTATGGTGATTTCAAGGAGAAGGTTTATATAGATCTCCCACCTGGTATCTGAACATCTCCTAGAAAAGGTGTTGTATTCAGGTTACAAAAGGCTTTGTATGGTTTGAAACAATCTCCTAAAGCGTGGTTTGGGAGGCTTACAAGTTCAATGAAGAAGTTTGGGTATGTCCAGAGTCATTCAGATCATACTTAGTTTCTAAAGTGACAAAATGATAAGCTAACTGCATTGATTATGTATGTTGATGACATGATAGTGACTGGTAATGATCAAAAGGAGATACAACACCTTCAAAAGTACCTAGCTACTAAATTTGAGATGAAAGAATTGGGTGAATTAAAGTATTTTCTTGGAATCGAGGTTGCACGATCCAAGTATGGTATTTTTCTGTGTCAACAGTAGTATGTTCTTGATTTGTTTGTTGAAACAGATATGTTAGATTGCAAACCTATTGATACTCTGATCAATCAGAATCACCATCTTGGCTTATTTTCAGATCAAATTCCTACTCATAAGGAATGGTATCAGAGGCTTGTGGGAAGATTAATTTATTTGTCTCACACTTGCCCTGACATTGCTTATGCAGTTAGTGTGGTAAGTTACTTTATGCACTCACCTAGTGAAGCTCATATGGATGCAGTAATTCGTATGAGGTACTTGAAGATGGCTCTTGGCAGAGGCCTGGTTTTCTCCAAGATTGGTAATTTGATTGTTGAAAGGTAACAGATGCAGATTGGGCAGGTTCTATCATTGATCGTCGATCTACATCTAGATACTTTACATTTATGGGTGGTAATCTAGTTACTTAGAGAAGCAAGAAACAAAAAGTGGTGGGTCAAGTGCTGAAGTTGAGTTTTGTGGTATGTCTCATAGTGTATTGATGTGGGAATTATACGCACACAAATTAAACCCTCTTTTTGTCAATTGTAGTAAGTACGTAAGTAGGGATCGTTCTGGACCGGGGATTAGGAGGGATTGTTAATCACTTGGATTTGACTTAAAAAACGTAAAAACAAGTTTAAAACACTATACTAGACTCAAAGAATGCAAAACTCAAAATAAGATAGATTAAGACTAAGAATAAACAAAGGATGGGGGGGGGGGGATTGAGTTTTGGACGAATTTAAACTAAAATGGATAGATTGTAAAGAAAACAAATTGTAAGTACGAATTTGACGGAAATGAATGGATGAGAAGCTAGCTAAGGGGTTCATCTCCACACATGTTACACTTGCATATAAAACGAATCTAATTGCTTTTCAATAAACCATGAATTCTCAACACCCCGGGTTAATTAGGTCCGCTTAAATTAACCGTCAAGTTTTCCTTAAGTTAATGAATTGGATGATTGCATACGACAACCCAAAGCATTCCTCACAAGTTCCCTACATGAATTGTGATAGGAGCATATTCATGCGACTTAATTAGCTTGTTCTCGTGCATTTATGTTGTGTTTACTTATCTATTTTAGTGTTTAAGGCCACTTTTGTGTATTTTCAGATTAAAAGGCCAAAGTGTGCAAGAAGATGCAAATTGGAGCCTTTTGGAGCGAAAGAGGAATGAATGAGTTGAAGACGTGAAGAAACGACGAATTCCTACGCCAACGATGAATTCCTACCAAAACGAGGAATCCTACTCAAACAAGGTTTCCTATTTTAGGAAAGTTGACCCTAAGTTTCCCGTTTTGGTAACCTATCCTAATCTTAAACGTCCATATTTTCTAGCCACTTTGTAACCCTTTGCCTAGCCCTATTTCCCTTCCTAGCCGCACCTTTATATTTATATTTTAATTTCCTATTTTCGTAAGCCTTTGATTTATTTTTAAATAAGCTAGGGTTAGTTTTCTGAAACCCTACACATTTTTACTTCCTAGCCGCACCTATTATTCAACTATCTTCCATTTTTCTTTGATCCGTAGCCTCCATTACCATCTCCCATTCATAAATTATTCAACCCATTATCCCATTTGTCTTGGCCTTAAGCCGCACTCCCCTTTTCTCCCTATCATCCGTAGCCACAACCATAATTCCCACTTAACCATCCCATTATTCATCCCATTCACCATCCACATAACCCTAAAATAATCTGCCATTATCTCCCACCATCCGCGTCATCCATTACACCATCCACCATCCACATTAAGCCATCCACTTCCCATGTTTAATTGTCCATTCCCATTATCCAATTCAAAACCGTGCATTGCCATAATCATTCCACCATCCGCACTAGTCCACTAATTTCCCATTATCCATATATTACCATTCCACTAACCCATTAGTGCAATCTTCACCCACCATTCAAACTGTCACTTCCCATATAACTCCATAATTATCCCATAATCTGGAAGATTGCCGTGCATCCATATCCATTATTCTAATTCCATAACACTAATCAACCATTCCCCATCATCCGTAGCTTCCCATTCCATTTTTACTTCCACATTCCATTCAAAAACCAATCCGTGCATTCCCATTAAGCTACCATATCCCATTTTCCCATTCATTATTCATGATTCATTCCACTAACCCTAATTCCATGCCATTACCATCTTTCATTCATAAATTATTAAGCCACCATATCCCACCATTCCACCCAAAACCAAGCACTAACTTCCCATTATCCCATTCATAATCCCCAAAACCCGTGCATTACTTTTTCCCCTTCCACCATCCCTTAAACAATAATCCATTTCAATCCGTGCATCAATCCCACCAATTCATTCATGCAATTTTCTTTATTAAGCCACCATGCCATTTTTCTAACCTAATTTTACATCCACTATATCCCATTAAGCCGAGGTCCCCCCCATTTCTTATTTATTCCAATTTTTTTTACTCACCACCAGACTTCCCATTACTAACTCCATAATCCGATTATCCATATCCCATAATTACAATCCAACACCACACTTCCACATTCTCACATTCCATCCCATTGCCGCAGCCATTCCATATTTTTTTCTTCCATTCCACACCACACATCACCTTACATACCTTCCTACAACACCAATCCTCCCAAAAACCCATTCCCAAACCAGAAAATCAACCAAAATCACCATTTAACCTCACTGTCGCAGAAGGAGAAGAGGAAAGAGGAGCTTCGACGCGCACCAATTCACGTGGATTCGTTGGGCGTTCTAGGTGTAATCAATCCTTTGTGCTTTATGTTTAAATTCATTTGTAATTTTCTTGTTGCGAACATGAGAGGCTAAATCCCCCTAGTTAGCTAGGGGGTGATTCGAAACCATGGTTATACTTGCAATATGAATTGATTACTTTTGGTTGGGATTTCATGAATGTTGGATTCAATTTGTTTAACCGTTTGATTGATAACTTATTTATGAATGTTTATTAAGAATGCGCGCTTAATTTTCATGCATAAATATGACGCTAGAATATAAGTGAATTTCACCTAATCGTTATGAACTTATATTCACAAGTAGTGGAGGTTGCTTATAAACAATCGCGTTAAATGAATTCTTGGCACGAGTATCATGCTTTTCATAGTTACAAATGCCTTGTCGATGCTTATAATTTCCAAAGAACGTAATGATTCTAACTTGTATCTTTATCATGCTGTTCATATAGAGAACTTGTTAGGAATAATTTGTTTGCGATGCATATTCATCCAATTCAATGATTCTAGGGAAATTTGAAGGTTAATTTAAGCGGACCTAATTAACTTGGAGTGTCGAGTTCCATAATTTATTCGAAAGACCAACTAAGAATCAATTTTGTATGCAAGTATAACATGTGTGGAGATGAACCCCTTGGCTATTCCATCATCCATATTTTCATCTCATTCATATTTACGTTTTGCCTTTAATTACAATTTTTCCATTTAATTTAATATTGTCCAAACACAATCCCCCCTTTACTTTATTGTCAAATTAGTTAGAAATCAATTTAGTTTAGTGTTTTATATTGTTTTTACGTTTTTAAGTCAAAAATCCAAGTGGTTAACAATCCCTCCTAATCCCCGGTCCAGAACGATCCCTACTTATACTTATACTACAATTGACAAAAAGAGGGTTTAATTTGAGTGTCAAGTAATTCTCGTATCAAATTTTGGCGCCGTTGCCGGGGATTAGCAACTTTGCTAATCCCTTGGATTGTTTTATTTTCGTTTGTTTTTATTTTTCCAGATTCTTAAAGTTGTTTTGTTTCTTATTTTAGGTACTAGTTCATGACTCGGAGTTCTCATCCGATTCGTGAACATATCCTGGAGTGATTGGGTTCTTCGTCCGGCTGCAAGACGTAAAAGAAAGCGCTACTTGGGAGGCAACCCAATACAGTGAATAAAGCTTGTTTATTGATTTCCGAGTGATGAAAAAAAAAAAAAAAAAAAAAAAACATGGCAGAAAGATGGAGCCTTTACAAAGGTTGTGTACGTGAGGACCCACTACGTGGCAACACTCTCGGAGCAGGAGGCATCGGAAGAGGAGGTCTCGGAGCAGAAGGCATTGGAGCAAGAGGCATCGGAGCGGAAGGCATAGGAGCGGGAGGTACCAAAGATAGATCATTCAAGGCCTCAAACCTTGGTGGAACGCTGGATGACCCAGGAAGGAGGTGCCTCTGGAAGAAAGCCGCAAGCTTTTGACGGTCATCAAGCTCATCAAGCTTCATCTTCATGCCTGTCGAATAATTGTTGGCAAGCACGTGCAAACTTCGGTTCTCGTACTTAAGCTGTTTGATCTCCTGCTTAAGACTCTCCACCTCCGCCATCAAGGATTCAACCTGTCGGGAGCGAGCAAGAAGGCGTTGGCCCATGTTGGACACAGAGCCAGCGCACTGAACGCTAAGAGCCAAGGACTCTTGAACGGCCAACTCATCGGACCGTCCTGAAAGCAGCTGACTGTCTTTGGGAGTGAGGAGGGTCCGAGCCACTATCGTAGCCGTTGTGGGATCCGTCATCACAGAGTCCTCATCTGTAAGAGGGCCATGGGAAGATAAGAAAGACGGGCACCATACCTTACCCTGACGAGACGCGACCGGATCACTGCTTAGACTCAAATCTAAGCAAAGGTTCGATGGGTTGGATGAGCTAGCCATTGTTCACAAAGTTAAAAGAGAAGGGGTGGACGGAGTAGATTTTCAAACGGGCCGGAGACGATTTCTGGGCAATTTTCAAGTGTGCATGCTAGAAGGTGATCAATCACCTCTATTAAAGGAGAGGCGTTCACCAATTCAGAATGAAGAGACACCACTCTTCTCGTCAGACGCAATCCCAGCTTTTCAGAAGACGCGTGGAAGGCGAGAAATCAGCTGCACACTTTAGCTGACAAATGTGGGAGACAAAGCCGAAAGCTCCCGGCTTTCCAGAAAGCGTGTGCATATTTGTCGAAAACTCCCGGCTTTGCAGAAAACGCGTGCCACTTGTCAAAAGATCTCAGACAGAGCCACATCCGCGCTGCTACGTGTCGTTCAGAAAGCGAAGGGCATCGTTCAGAAATCGAAGGGGCGACTGCTCAGAAATCGAAGAGGCAAATTCAAAGATCGAAGAGTCGTCACTATTTCAAAAAGCCGGATTTGCGGGATCAAAACGTTTGTCGACAACGGTAAAAGAACAGTACCACCACTTGCTATTGAATTCCCTATATATGTCGACCTTCATTTTTTGGCAAAACAGAACTGAAGAAAATGCCCAACTCTTTCTCACCTCTGCGGGTGCACTCCCAGCAAAGCCTTTCAAAATACTCTATTCTTTCTTCTTCCCCAAAGATGATACCAGATGCCTGGAGTACAGATGACCCAGGAGGAAACAGCACCACAAATACATGTGCTGATTCATTCACCGCTTCTTCAAAAGCAAAGGTATCTCATATCATCAAGGGCAAAAGCAAAGGTATATCATATCATGC